ACCTTGTGGACATTTTCACTTTCTATGATTCATTTTAGAGGTGGATCTAAAATTAACACTGCGACAAATACAAGCCCTGACGCCCATAGATCCTCTCTCCTTATTCTCGCAGGCATCTCCTTGTACAGGATTGTTCGGTATATTGCCTAAGCACTGCTTTGTCAGTGCTACTATTGATTGCCAGTCATCAAATGTCAACTCATGATGATGCATCCGTTCGGTGCTCTGTGTCTGCTGGGGGGAGAGGAATTGTTTGAAAGTGAACTATTTAAAGTGTGGCAGGTGTGCTCTGCTGGAGTGTGACCCACTGTGGATTGAAAGATCTTTTAGGTCAAAAGAAGGAATTGCAATATCCGTTCAAACTCCTACAGAGGAGAAAAGGCGGTTACTTCCTTTTTCTTCTTTTCCACTGAACACATTTGTGCTCCCTGGAGCTGGCCTGGCTATTTTCCTAAAATAAAGATTAGTTTTTGAGTCGTTTTGTTCAGACAGCTTCCTCCATGTTTCTTTATCCTTCCGCTGTGGACTTTCCATTTGTTATTCGGGGGGGATTGGATTGCATTGTTCTGAGTTATGTTCTTATAACTTGTAAACAAACAGTGTTTTCCCTTCAGGTCTATTTGGAGAAGAGAGAGACAGCCCACATACCACCTGGACAAGCCTCCTTTATATACAGTTTACTACACGGATTGTGTACATTATTCAGCAGCATTCTGCACTTTGCTGACTTTGGTGCAGCAATGCAGTGTAGATGCAGCAGTTTGGGGCTGCTCCTTACAATCTTCAAAAAGCAAAATAAAATGTCAGGAAACGACAGATAACTTGAGACTGCTTTTCAAGATGCTTCCTAGTTATTTTAGACACATGTAAAAATGGCTTTCCCAATCAGCGCCCGAGTAGAGAGCACATTTTTCTTACATTCGGCTGTGGTTTTCAACATTTTTCATTTTTAACACTTCAGAACAATATTTTATATTGTAAAATATTTCAAACATAACATTTTTCACAATAGTGTGACACATTTTTAGTCTTCTGTGATAGGTGTCCAGTACAGGCGAATGAGGCACCAACCACTGAAGCTTCCAATCAATGTTTAACATTTCTAAATGAATGATCGACATCAACGTACCACAGAGACACACAGACATGACATAGCAAATAAGAAAAATACATAAAAAAAAAAAAAAATGTAATTTGTGCTCACGCTGTTCCTATTATGTACTCACAAGTAACTTCTTTGTGGGCATGAACTCTTACTTTCTACGACATCCTTTGCACAAAATTGTTAGAAAGTGCACACGAAGTAGTTGTTCGTGCACACGAAATAGCCGTCGCTCCTTGCGGGTCACTTAAAACAAACTGCTACTGTGCACACACACACACCCACACCCACACCCACTCTCACACCCACACCCACTCTCACACACACACACACACACACACACACACACACACACACACACACACACACACACACACACACACACACACACACACACACACACTTCCATACAGTTTCCATAGCAATGCTATTACCGAGATGATCCTTTTTTGTGCTTGTTGCCACTCTTCAGTGTCAAGTGTCCAGATCTGAAGACTCTTAAGCTGCGGAGTGGGAGTTTGTTCTCATTAGGCTACACGGTCCAAGATAAGAACTATTACATCAGGGATTGAGTCACAAATGACACAAGTTGAGATATCATCGAAAAATTGTGCTTTGAAAATGTGTATTGATTGAAATCTACAACGAGAACTTATTTTTTTCTGTATGAGACATGTAGGAAAGCAGAGCACAAGTATGCATTTCCATTGAAGAAAATTGACTCCTGGTACGCCCCCGCCTACAAAGCTACTGTGTGCCACGCTTAGGAGCAATTGTAATTTTTTGTTTGCATTTTGCACCAGCTAATAACATGAACCCACCAATTAATAAAAAGACACCAGAAGATTAAAAAGGGTGATAACTCCAGTAAGTTGTTCAGCATCTGCTATTGTATTTATGTATGCCACAGGTTATTATACCCTGACTGGCCGCGTTTCAAGTCGGCCTTGAAAGTCAAAGTGTGGCAACTCTCAAATAAAAGATGATTTGATCCATTTCTAGATATATTGTTTTTTAAACTGGGATGATTCGATTTGGTTTGATTCGATGCACTCACGTGTTTTATTCGATTAGATTTGCGAAGTTCTGTTTAGAATCAATGGGGTTTAATATTAAAGGTTAATGTCGAAACCGAGTACAGGATACTTTTGGGGGGAATTTTTCTGAAGGTAACACAGGCCATTGGTCACTGAAGATTAAAAAACTTCAATTTCATGCTGAGGAGTGCATTTTTTTTCCTCCTCTAGCTTTTTTTCAGCTTTCTTTCCACTCAAGAAAGTCAAATACAGCACCTGCACTTTATTTTAATTGCCTTGCTTTTTCCACCTCTTTGTATTTATGAACTTCTCAATTTGCGGCGTCTATACGAAATGAGCCACGGTTGCAGTCTATTACAGCCAATTACGCAGCTCACTGAAGGGTCACTGTACAATTTACAATCATTCGCTGGCTCACTGTGCTCTGCCTGACTAACATGCTGAGTTGGTAGATGGAGCAGGAAATGAACGATGTTCACTCCCGACACAGGGGATCAAAACTTCATAACGTCCCAAGGCCAAGACTCATCGCCGTAATATGCTAATAGCTTTGGCATCCACGCCACGCAGCGTCGATGCCGTCATGCTTCATGGATGCATATGATCCGTGAGTAAACCCGCACCTGGAGTATTGTGTGACGTCAGCAAGCATGTGCATACATTCCAGCTAACCAGGATCCATGCAATAATAGATGTTTGCAGATGGGATACAATCATACGCAAAGAAGGGTAAACATTCACGGCAAAAGTCTTTGCCATATTCGTAGGTTTACATGCTGATGGATTTTAATGAGGCCATTTCTTTGTCGGGGTGCCTTTGAGGAACTGCCCGTCTGCTTGGCAATGTCACACAGCCACCTCAATCTGACATCTCGGCTTAGTGGTTCAACACATTTCCCCGGAGAATAAAATCACGTGCTGAAGTTGTTCCATTTTATTTTGTCAAGTGTTTGCACGAAATAAAATCATATGGATCCAGGATTGGACCAGATGATTTTAGTTGGTGCGACCACTTGGCAAAATAAAATGGCGTAAATTCAACCACTTTTTTCAATGCTTTGTGCAAGACTTGTGTTGGGCACGAAAATAGGGCCCGTGGAGTTAAAACCCAACATTTCAAGATTTGGCATACAAAGAATCTTGGGATGTTGGGGCCATGAATTGGAAGCACTAAATTATATTTAATCGACTGGAAAGGGCATTGGAATATTAACAGCCTTGACTCTGCGTTTTGAACATATTCAAATGCAGCTTCGAAAGGAAGCAACCCCGGAAAACTTTTCGCTACATTTTAGCTCTAAATGCTTTTCACTTGAAACATTACAGCTGTGTCCACTCTGAATGCCAACACCCCCCCCTCACCCATCCAGCTGCCACAACTGCTTCAGTCCATAGCACATTGTAAGAACAGTTCAGCCCTTTGGGCAGTTGACAGTCGGCTGACGGCCCGATCTTGCCTTTTCTACTTGTGTCATAAAACTTGGAGAGAAGCCTGAGACGAAGGCAAAATACATGTTACATGGGATGTTGGGTCGTAGATGTCAGCGCGACGTGGAACCCTAATCCGACAGCTAACTGGTTGTTAGCAACGTGACTCCTTCATTGAATTTGAAATGAGGTATCCTTACCATGTTGTCCATCATGTCACCACGGTAGCTCGTACTTTATAACAATCATAATCACTTTTTAACCAATGGACAGAGATAGTATTTGGTATGACTGGTTGAGTTGCACCAGAACAGCAAAACTGCATAAATGACATTGATATGACATGCAAACTGTATTTACAGGAGCTGCTTCAGTGGCAATAATTGAGTGGATGACTTCTGCCGATAAAAATGAGCATTTGAAGTTGATATGTACACCAATGTTGAATAGTTCCCGGTTATTCGTGTCATTGGGCAGTGGCATTATACTGGCGTGTGTGTCACGTGTGCCAGTTTTGCAGTGTTATAAACCACCCTGACCTCGATGTGTTGCTGTTTTGCTTTGTTAGCGATGTGCGGGGATGTATTCCACACAGTCCAGCGCTGTAAGCCGGTACGCATCCACACACGACTCAGCACTTTTCAGCTTCTCATTTCTGGGGAGAGGAGAGCATAATTGAAGTGGGCAAGAGAATAAAGCATGTCCGGGTTCAGTGGAATGTATGGACTGAATTACTGATTTATTTTCAAGCAGGGCGGCCCAGTGGTCCAGTGGTTATCGCGTCGACCTCACAGTGCGGAGGTTGTGGGTTTGATCCCGGCTCCGGCCTCCCCGTGTGGAGTTTGCGTGTTCTCCCGTGCAAGCGTGGGTTTTCTCCAGGTACCCCGGTTTCCTCCCACGTTCCAAAAACATGCCTGGCAGGCTGACTGAACACTCTAAATTGTCCCGAGATGTGAGTGTGAGCGCGGATGGTTGTTTGTCTCTGTGTGCCCTGCGATTGGCTGGCAAACCTGTTCAGGGTCTCAGCCGAAGACGGCTCGGATAGACTCCAGCACCCAATGCGACCCTTGTGAGGATAAAGCGGATCAGAAAATGAATGAATGAATATTTTCAAGCAAGGGATTTGCTCCATTCGAAAGGTTGTGCCCACATTGCTGTTTTTTTTGTTTTTTGGAAAACGGTCAAAAAAGAGAGCAAGGACAGGCAGCAAACAAAAATGAAGTTAAATGTATGTTGCTTTGTGTGGCTCCTATAAGCCATAAAATACACCAAAAATAAAAAACTGTGGGTAATTGTTCAAAAGCTGCGAGACAGTTGAGCAAAGTCCCCTATCCTCCTGAGTGAGACAGGTGCAGCGGGAGCTAAAGAGACGAGAGAGAGAGAGAGAGAGGAGTGGGAGGTGCGCGCTGTAACCCAATCCTCTTGTGTGCTGTCGACCGGAGCCGCTGAGCAAAACAAGAACGAGAGGAACAGCTAGAAGTGGAACTGACTCAGGCTCAGGTTGTAGGGACAGCGGGAAAGTGACGAAGCCAACAGTGAGCCCCCTTTTGAAGATCCTAAGTGAGAAACCAGAACAAAAAGAAGTGAGTCGTAAAAGTGCCGATGGCACCTATGCGGGACTGCAGCGTGACTTCCCCCCACCCCCATCTTGTTCCCTTGCTTCTACTCTGACCCTCTCCACTCCACTCCACTCCACCCTCTCCCTACTCCACTCTCGCACATCACCGCTCTCCATGGTGAGCACAGCATCTTTCCCTCTCGCTCTCCCTCTCTCTTGCTTCCATCGCTCCCTCCAGCGCCTCTGATTGTCATTCTGCAGCTGGACGCGGCATTAGAGGCATCACACTGGCAAAGAGAAAGTCCGGCGTGGGGATAACTGACCGATTGTTGCTCAGTCAGCAACTACAAAAAAAAAAATGCAGAGTCTTCAAGGCTTTTGATGACTGGCCTTTTCATTTCTCTTCCTTCGACAAAGAAAGACTTGATAGGAGAGCATTAGAAAAGAGTAAAAGCGTTCTATTGCTTCATAGAGCACCGCGATGCACGTGGAGACGCGGCAAACGAAGACTCCATTTGTCTCCTGCAAAACTTGAACCTGAACGTACAGACTTTTTTTTCCAAAAGAAGACGCGATTGAGCCTGACCTCACCCGTCCGTGCTTTTCCCCACTGAGCCCCAGCCCCTTCTCCTTGCCGGAAGCTCAGTCATGCAAGTGTCCATCGCCTGCACGGACCACAACCTGAAGAGGGGCAATGGGGACCACGGCAAGCAGAGCGCCACCAGCCCCAGTGTGGTCAACCAAGCTAGGGCCAAGTTCCGCACGGTGGCCATCATCGCTCGCAGCTTTGGCTCCTTCACTCCGCGCCACATCTCACTCAAGGAGTCCACGGGGAAACACACGGGAATGAAGTACAGGTGTGTCTGTTGGGTGCATTGACTTTTACTTCAATACTTTGTCTTGTTTGTTTGCTGTTTTGGGGTTTGGCGGATTTCTTCAGAAATTAACTTTCACAGAAAAGTTGGTAGCACTTATAATGAGGTGAGCATTCATTTGGAGAGCTCTTTTCAAATGATCTTCATCGGTTCATGACTGGCCGAATTGCGCTCCTGCCACACTTAGAGCAGTCCATCTATTCTGTCTGTCTGATGAAAAAAACATTTTTACTCTGCAAAAGACAGACTTGTGTAAGTGTAAACTATCAGATCTATCCAACTAACTAAGAGAAGGCAAAGCAGTAGAGATAAGTATGGGCTCACTATTTGGCAAGGTCGCTAGCTGTTCTTAGCTAAAAACTTTAGCGACACAAAACAAAAAGTTGTGAAATGGGTAGATTATTTCTGTGTTGTTAAAATGCTCTTGGCTAGTAAATGTTGGTTATTTCCTTTTTAAATGAGCTCATATTTGTAAGACACAACATCCCGGGTACCTATATTTGTGTGTATGTGGGATGAGAGCGGCACACTCAGTGTTTGCGTTCTGCCCCGTGTAATAAGTTCCTATGCTAAAGAGCGAATCCTGTTCTTGCTTCTTATTTGACATTCCATGGGAGAAGTGGTGACTGAAATCCGAAGCAATTGTGTGTTTATTTTCTGAAAGCGTCGAACAATAATTAGTGGTATCTGTGATATGTGGAAGAGCTGGAGAGGGCAATAATAGATGGTCACACCTTGCTGCGGGACGGCAAGTTACTCATGCGCCAACACCGCAATCAAGTTTTGGGTTTGGTTAGGGGCTTGGTCTCTGATGAACAGCGCTCTGTGGGGGTGAGCGTTGCCCTCTCGGTTGATGGAGTCCACTTGGAGGATGCGGAGATATGGCGTTGCCTTCAATGATTACACGTCTCGCTCTTCGAGTGATCGGGACACAAACGTTCCTTGCAAATGGGTAGCCTTTCAAAACAATAACAGGCGTTCTGTATGAAATTTAAAAGCAAAAAGCATCATTACACAGAGAAATGATCAACCAAACACAAATGTCCAGACTTTGTTTGACACTCAATTAAGTCTTATGCACCAAACAGTATACATTCAATTCAGTAAGGGAACTTTCATGGCTAAGTGTAGAAAAAAAAAAGCAATGCAACGCCAACACAATTTTTGACACCCTGCATTTGACATGATATTTTCAGATGTGACATTGATTTCTTAAGGAAGCAAACCTGACAAGGTCTATGAATAGACGCATCAGATTTGATACCTGACGGTTGTTATGAGCAAACTACTTTTTTCCTCTTTCCTTCAGTCTGTTAGCCTCTTTTCGTCTTTCCTCGCCAACACGCTAATGTTTCGCCTGCTTTCAAGGGCCATGAATGGAATAGGCTCTTCTGCTTCTCTCCCACGCATCGAAAACACACCTCCGTGCCTTTTGCTGCGGTTTGATGACACAGATCTGCAGTGTGGGCAGAACGTCTGAATCCGATTTGACCTCTGCCAACTTGCGTGTTTGACTTTTGAGGTCTCAAGATGAGAATCCTGTGTTCCGTGGCGATATAATCTTAACCTGAACATGTGTGTGTGGGGGGTTGTCTGACAGATTGCAGGTGGAAAGTGATGCTATGAAGTGCTTTTAAGGTTGATGGTGCCCATGGATATAACTCGTTACCATAGCAAGGCAGGGGCAGGTACAGCTCACGTATTGAGATTGCTGTCTGTCCGTTAACCTAAATGAATTGTTTTTTTGACATTTTAAAGAATAACACATTTGCAGAGAAAAATGCAGCTGGGTGTAGGGTAACAGATTTTTGGTTGTTTGTCGGCTTGATTTTGTGCGACTTACCTCTGGGCCATGTAGGCCATGTTGTTCAAACATCCCCTTTGCTATTTTAATGCTATTTCAAGGATTTCTGTTGAATAATATATCTTCAGAGTCGTTTTCCGCTTTCTGCTACGACCAAAAGCCTGTTTTTCAGGGGCAGTCAGCTGACAAGACTGCACGTGGAATAAGTGCCCCTTTCCTCTCAGTCCAGTGAGTAAACTGGTGTAGCAGGTGGATGCTATTACTGGGGTGCACAACAATTGTATTTAAGTGGGATTGAGGATTTGAGATATTAGTATATTATGAGCGTGGTCACAGTACAGATATAAATCCGATCTCAACGCACCACTGTATACATCCATCCATCCATGATCTGATGCTCACAAGGGCCACTGGGCATGCTGGAGCCTATCGCAGCCGTCTTCGGGCAGTAGGCGGGCTACACCCTGAACCGGTTGCCAGCCAATGGCACGGCACACGTCGACAAACAACCATTCGTGCGCACAATCACACCTAGGGACGATTGAGAGTGTTTCTTTACCCTGCCATGCATGTTTTTGGAATGTGGGAGGAAACCGGAGTACCCAGAGAAACCCCACACAGTCCTTTATTGCTCTCAATTTCAGCATTATATCGAAAAGTAGACTCAGATATAAAACAAAACGTCAAACGGCATCTGAAAGTGCATTCACCTAAGGTCCGTATATAATTGTATACAGTCAAATTAGTTGTCGCAGTCCCTCTCACCCCACCATGTGTTCATTTTGTAGTCGACACTTAATGACACTTCCTCTGCCGAGATATTTGCACTGCATAGTAATCAAAGAGGCCACATTGCTGATGCATGTAAATGAGTTAGTGCTTGGTATCATTAGCGGAGCATTTGGGCAGCAGTGAAAAGTTTTATGACGCAACCTCCTGAACGTTTTCGACACTGGTGTAGCAAGAAATGTAATCTTGAAGAAAGGTAAAATGTGTGTATGTGTGTGGGGTGTTGGGGGGGGGCACATTTCTTAATGTGTGCTTCACATTACCTCACAACTAACCAACGCGCTCTTCTAGTTGCCATGGAAATCATGTCCTTGACTCTTATTTTTCGATCATTCACGTTAGAACACATGTGAACAGCACCTCTTTGCACATCAAGAAACAAATAGTCCGTACTGAAGATATTACCGGTACATGAAATTGGTTTGGTGAGCTAAATAGATGACAGACACAAGAAAAATGAGAGCGTTAGTTTATAAGGGCCATGAGGGGTTCTGATCATTTTACGCAATTGTGAATCACCCAGAAAAAGTTTTCACCAATCCGGCGATCGCTCACTATGCTGATGTTTGCTTTGGACATTTTCGAAGGAATGTTAAAAGCCAATCAAAGCAAATGTCCTTGGATCATTATTTTACAAAACGCCAGGTAAAAAACACTTCTGAGAGAGAACATGGACTAAAGAGGGCAAAAAACATTGAGGATGCAGCTAAAATTTAAATGACCATTTTTATTCTTTACTCTTTGTTTTTTACATGATGCACAACTCTCATATATTGTGCAATGATCTAATTGTAACATGTATTTGTTATATATTTTGATGCATTTTTATGCTTTAGGAAACATTTTTGTCTGAATTTGGCTGGGGCTTGGAACGAATTAGGGCATGTACATGGAAAATGCGTTTCTACTTACAAACTTTTCTACTTAAGACATTTCTTCCAGAACCAATGAATTTCCTAAGTAGAGCTACCACTCTATTCTCGAAACGACAAGCACCATAGGCTTTCCTCGATAAACCACATTCATGCCATTCATGTTCTCAATGATGCTGATGTGCGGCGGTTTCACGGGACTTCTTTGTGTAGTATGTCTGCTCTAATCCTTGTCAACGTGGGAAAGAAATGAGAGACATCAGAGAGTGGCGTTTTTGTGGTGCCGTAATGTAACGTGACGTGAGTTCACTTTGATCTTCTGGCAAATATAATCCTGAAGGAAGGAGACAACGTGCATGCCAACCTTGGATCTATTTCAGTCCTCCTTCTTCTGCTTGTCTTGATCATTCTTCGCGGGTTGTCAATCTGCTGATGATGTGATGCAGAATTAAAAGGAATTAGGTGTTTGAGATGAAGAGATACAAACCTGCGAGTTTAAGCTCCACCGCATGCACACGTGCAAGTCAAGTGAAATGAAACATGTCCCAGTTGGAAATTGCTCTCATCGTCTATAAATGAAGACAAACGCATTTACAAATGTGCACACACAGTCACTCTACCATGCTGACATCTCTTTCTTTCCTTCTTTCTTTCTTTTTTTTTTCTTTCTTTCCCAGCATCACTTCTTCCACCAAGCATAAAAGCTGTCATTTTGCATGGTTTGTTGATTTGTTCATGAGCAAAATTCTTTTCCACGAAGCAGAGAAAGTAGTTGCACTTAAGAGGCCATTACATTTTGGTCCGTAGCCAGATAAAAATATTTCATTGCATTTCAATCGGAATGGAACCGCCAATGAATGCAAATGTTCCGCGGCATCAAATCCTGACATGTTACAATAGAAATTAAGAGGCAAACAAAACAGACAGGATAAAAAGGAACAAATACGGTGATCGTATTCTTTGATTTTTAGTTTTGTTTATTTTGTCGTTTGGAAAACTGTTCTATTCATCCTCAGAATTAAAAAAAAAAAATGCTGTCTTTATCTGACCATAACCTTGGCTTTTAAATATGTAACCCCATACGCACATGGGACGCAACACCTTTAAAGAAATGCATTTACATTTAACCCTCTCTGTTGATAATTTGCTCAGCAGCAACTCCGAGACCTCCCTTGCGGAATTTGAGTCCTTAAAACTCTTCTTGAAGAGTATTATTGTCCAACATGTTGAAAGATCTCAAAACGAAAATACCCTCAAAACAAAGAAACCTTTTAAAAGATGCATGTTGGTGATGTGTTTGTGTTTCGGTTCCCAGGCTACGTTCGAGGAAAAGGGACTGGCTGTGTTTCTGTAACCATATGAAGGCCATGTAATTGACTTTCTGTCTCCATGGAGATGAGAATGACAGAAAAAGCTGCTAGTGAGAAGCTTTCTGTTGAGTGGGTTTTTCTCTCAAACGTGTGTTTGTGTGTCTGAGCGGAGGTTTTGCGGTGGTGATTTATACGCTGTGGATTTGA